TCGCTATATTATGTTCTTGATCTATGAAATACATTTTTCAATAATATTATGATTAATATATATTAAGGTAGGTAAGTACTCTAATAAAATATAGACACTTAAATAATATGGAAGTTAGTATAGGTACTATAATCAATGCATAAATTGCGTTACTGATTTACTTCAAAATGTATCTTTAATAATAATAAAAAAATTAAATAATCTCCAAACATTTTGTTTTATTGTACTATCCATACAAATAATTATTTGTATATAATTATTATGAACATTAAAAATGCCCATTGCCCAAGGACCAAGGTTTTATTTGAGACATTTCTTATATTTTTAAAGCATAATATTAAATGTATTTAATAATAGATATATTTAACTAAATTAAATTAAAATTTCAGGGATAAGTAATAGGTAATATAACAGATAACTACACTTTATTTAAGTTAGAATACTTAAAAAATTAAAATATGTACCTAAGTACTTAATAGATATATTAAAACAATTCATGAGACTAATATTAATAAATAATAAAATGTTGAAAGTATTTACCATCTACCTACTTCAGAAAAAATTTAACGCTGAAAATTCATGGACTCATACTTAGCAATAATAGTTAATAAATACCTGTTACTCGTGAATACTTTAAAAACTTAGCAATACTTATATTGTTTGAACAGGATTTTCTTTTTTTGCATTTATTTGCATGACGCATCCAATTTGTATTATTGAGCCCTCCTCGCTCTTTGCCACACACACAAATTTCTGAGTTCATTTTTATTTGATATTATAAATTATAATTATCTTGTATTAGAAATAAAACAATACACCAGAAATTATTGAATTTAAAAATTAAGCACAAAATAGTAAAATGTTAATTTAATCCTTGCACCAAATACAACAAACACTGAAAATAGGAGTATTAACAACAATGTACGGGTGGAAATAATATGTTTATAAATTTTAGAGCACAATATTAAATCATGGACAGCAAGAGCTATAACGTTGCCAGAGTTATCCTTAGAAAAGAAAAAGGAAACTATGTTGTAGCTTGTAATCTGATAATCGTAATTACTTATTCTTAAATACGATTTTCGACTAGGCTATTTATAAACATTTTTTCCAATTATCGCTGGGTGCTGATAGTCGGTTGTTATCAATAGTAAATTAAATGAAACTATTATCTATTCTGTGCTATTATGACAAAATAGAAAGATACAACGGCGAATGCACAGGTCACCGTTACCGAGACCGTCCTGCATGTTATTTTATATCTTATCCGCTTATTGTATTACTAATAGAATACAAACATACTAACTGTATACAAGATATCTTAATTTGTGGCTATACTACTATTAATTGCTTTATTAGCTATAGTGCTATACAATATTACTATATACAATGTTAATATACTATTAGGTATTACTATTTTTGTATTGCATAAGTGACACCTAACAGTAGTATGGTACCTACGCCTACCCACCCACGACCCACCCCTTAAAAAGGTGTTACCGCTGTCACACCTTTATACCGTGTTCGGCGCCACTGTCTGGGCCGGATTTAGAACAAGTGCCACCCTAGGCCCTTTTAAATATGCCGGCATAACCCCTAGAAAAAAAAATGTTGTAATTATTTCAAATAAATTTATTTCATTTTAAAGAAATTAGGTCAATAGTCATTACTCATTATAAACATAAAAAATAATTATAAAATATTCTAACTAGGCATTAGCGGTATAAATTTATAATCTCATACCTATGTTATCTATAACATATTACTACCAACTTTTTTAGAAGCGAAATCGTCGATTATATCATCATAGTTTATACTTCTAAGCATCTTAGATTCTATGTGTAGTATTGATGTCGCTTTTAATCTATCTGACTCCAAAGTTGAACGAAGATGCGACTTTAGGCCCGTTTCACACGGACCACTTTAGTGTCGCCACAGAAAAGACACAGTGGCGCCACTGATAAAAATACATTATTTTTAATTAATGCTTTCACATGGTGTGTCGCCACAAAATTGTGGTGCCACAGACGGGTTTATGTGGTTGGTCCTCGCTAGAAATCGCGCCACAGTTTGTGGCGCCACAGTTAGTAATACATTGAAACAGTACGTTCATTTCATACGGACACACCACAAACGACCACAAGTCGTAGTAGTAGTAGTCAAGTAATTTAAGTTCAATTGATTCAATTTCATTTTTTTTTCTTTTGAATACTTTAGAAGTTTGGGTTGATGAAGCTGATTGATTTATTTCATCCACACAAATATCCTCTTCATTTAGTGTATTTTGGTCCTGGTATGTTCCCTGAGATCCTTCAACCATATTTTGGGTATAGTTGTCATCAAAATTGGAAGTAGTATTTTTGTTAGTAATACTTGGAGCCAAAAACTGCAATTGTTCAAAATATACTTACTGTCTTCGACGGTTTGATTTCGCTGACCCAGATGCTTTTTCTTTTTTTCGTAAGAGATTCTCTCTTTGGTACGAATCTCTAAGGCTTTTCCATTTTCTTTGTAATTGACGAGCTACATAAAATAATACAAATACATTATTTTATTGAAAATTATTAATTAAATAATAAATAGC